CTTAACCTAAACTAAAACTAATCTTACAGTTATTTTGTCCTGGCGTTACCTCCCTGCCAGTACTCGCCGCACACACACACACCGCCTCGCGGACTTTCGCTTCCTCTTGCTTTCTATCTTATCTCTCTATCCCTCTATCCCATCCCTCTCGCGCCTCCATCATCTCTCTCTCTCTTTCTTTCACTCTCTCCCTCCTCTCTTTCTCTCTCCTCCTTATCCTCCTTCTTCATCCCCTTATCCTCCCGTTTCCTACTCTCCTCTTCCCACTCCCTATTCCATCTCTCTCCTTCCCCATTTTCTCTTAAGATGTCTCCTGCCAAGTCCCCCCTCTCTCTTTCCAATCCCTACAACTCTCTCATACGTGTTCCGACGTCTCCACCTCTCCTCCGCATAACTTACATAGTTTCTTCTCCTCCTCCTCCCAATACCTTCTTTCCTCTATTTCGTACCCCATCCTAAACCTCGCCACCCTCATCTACCTACTCTCTTCCCACCCCTTCATCAGGTATCTCGGGATACCCTCCTCTTTCACCTCCTTGTACCACCTATTATATTTCGATTCTTTTATCTTCTCCCACCTTTTCTCTCTATGTCTTTCTCTCTCCTCTCTTTCCATCATGTCATATCATCCTTCTCCCTCCATCCTTTTCCTCTCTACATCTATCAAACTGAACCTTCTCCTCTCGAAAAATTCCTCCCTCTCCCTCTCACATCCCGAAAGTGCCTTTCCCCTTCCCGTTCTTTCTCTCATCTCCTCCCCAGCATCTTCTCGCTATATCGCTTCCCTTTCCTTCTCTTAATCTATCCTCAAACTCCCATGCTCTCATTGCTGTTCTAACCCTCAATTTATCCCTCTGTAATTCCTCCCTTACTAGGTACCATGGAGTTCTTCCTTCTACTCCCAACATCCACCTCAAATATTTCTCTTCCAACTTTTCCAATTCTTCTCTCTCCTTCCATTCCCATATCTCCACCCCATATCCCATTACCGTCCAAATCAACCTATCAAACAACCACAATCTCCTTCCTCAGTCCCTTCCAAATCTTCTCTTCCCAATCTCCCATATCTGTCCCATGATCGCTGACGCTTTCCTCCTTCTTTCTCTAATCTGCACCTCTTGCCCTCCATTCTTTTGGAGCACATATCCCAGATACTTATACTCTTTTACTTCCTCAATTATTTTTCCTTTCCACCTCCAGTCTTTTTTAACTTCCCTTCCTCCTCCTCTTCTAAACCTCATTATTTTCGTTTTCCCTGTATTCAGCTCCAACCTTTTTCTATTCCAAAAAACCTCCAACCTCTCCATTATACTCCTCATTTCCTCTGCATTTTCCGCCAACAGCACCATATCGTCTGCATACGAAAGCATGTAAATCCTTCCTTTCCCCAACTTAACTGCCCCCCACTTTACCCTTCCCATCTCCTCCTCTATATCCGCCAATAACAAATTAAACAGAATCGGGCTCAGCGGATAACCCTGCCTCACTCCCTTTGCCGTCCAAAAACTCTCGCCCACTTCCTTCCCTATTCTCATCCTACTCCTCGTCTCTCTGACCACCTGCTTTGCCCTTACCGTCAACCCCTCCCTAATCCCTAGCTCTCTCATTATCCCTATCAACACCTCCCTATCCACCGAATCACACGTCGCTTTCATATCTACAAACAACGCGACTAGTTTCCCTCTTTCTGTCCTAACTGCCTGTTTATCAAAAAATTCAGCGTATAGATATTGTCCACAGTCCCCATCCCTTTTCTAAACCTTGTCTGGTTATGTGATATCAACCCCTTCCCTTCTATCTTTTCCCTTATCCTCTCCGCCAGCATTGCAGCATACAGTTTATACGCTGTAGACATCAGTGTCACTCCTCTGTATTCCTCCACTCTCTCTCCCTCACCTTTTTTAACTATCGGTACTATTACCCCTTCCTTCCATTCTTCTGGCCATCCTTCTCCCCTCCATATCCTGTTACAAAATTCCCTTATCCAATCCTCTAACTCCTCCCCCCCCATTTCCATACCTCCTCCCTATTTCCATACCTCCCCTGGTATCCCTACTAGTTCCCACGCCTTCCCATCCCTCAACTTCCTAATTACTTTTCTAAGTTCCTCTCTTCCTATCTCCTCTTCCTCTTCTCTCGCCTCTACTCCACCTTTTCCTTTTACCACCCTAACTTCTACTCCTCCCAACAATCTCATAAAATATTCCTTCCACTCTTCCATCTCAATATTCTCATTCACCCTTTTCCCTCCTTTCCTTTCCCTATTCACTATTTCCCACACCTCGTGTTCTCTTCTCACTTCTTTTATTTTCCTTTCCCACTCCTCGTTCCACTCTCTCTTTTTCTTCTCACATATCTCCCTATATTCCTTCCTCCTCCTTCTGTACTCCTCTTCACCCTCCCCTCTCTTCCTCCATTCCTTTAGTTTCATTCTAATCTTCCTTTTCATTTCCTTGCAATCCCCATCACCCCACCTTTCTCCACTTCCTCTAATGTCTCTTTCATCCTTTCCTCCATCTCCCTCCATTGTTCCTCCAAACTACAATTCCCTATTTCTATTTTACTCAATCTTTGCTTAAACTCTTTCCTGCCTTCCTCGTCTCAAACTCCTCTCCATTCCCTCTTTCCCTTCCTCTTTCTAATCTTCCTGTCTCTTCTATCCTCAATCCATACCTCTACCGGATGATAGTCTGAATCTACCTTATCATCTAACCTCATACTCTCTATCCTTTCCCTTACCTCCCCCTATCGCATAGTCTATTTATATATTTATATACCAAATTCCCTTTCCCCCCTGTAAAGGAGTACTCTCCTTTCTCATCTCCTCTTGTACACCCGTTTTGTATACCCCACCCATTCTCTTCCACAAACTTAATTAACTTTCTCCCTTCTCCGTTAATTCTCCCATCCTTCGACCTTCTTATTCTTACTCCCCCTCTTCTCTCTCACAATCTCCCACCTCCTTCCCTGTTCTCGCATTAAAGTCTCCTCCCTATTAATATCATTTCCTTCTCCCTTTTGTCTACTCATTCTTCCAAGCTGTTTCTCGTTACTTCCACTCCCTTGCTCACATACACTCCAATTATCCTCCATCTTTCTGACCTCTTCTTATCTCCCCCACTACCACACCATCATCCTCCACATTAATTTCCTTTCCTTTTTCTATCAAATCCCTTCTTATACCCATTAACATCCCCCCTTCTCCTCTTCTCTTTCCTTGTTGTCCCTTGCATTCCCTATTTATACCTCTCAGGTAGCTTCCTCCTTATTTTGCTCCAACCTTTCTCCTCCACCCATGTTTCCATTAACATCATGACATTCCATTCTTTCAATCTCTTCCAGAAATCCTTATCCTTATTCCCCATCCCCGCTACATTCCAAAAGACTATCTTCCACCCCTTACTTCCTTTCCCCTTCTCCTTCCCTCTCTCTCTCTTTCTCTCCACCTCCACCTCCCTCTCTATCTTCTTTCTTCCCTGCTCTCCCCCTTGACTTCCTCCATTTCCTTATCCCAGATCTTTCCTCTCCCGTCCACCAACACCTCCTCTGTCTCATCACATCTCCACCATTGCTCATCTATTCTAATAACCCCATACCCCATACCTTTCTTCCTTTTCTCATTTCCTCCCTCGCTATCTCCTCCAACCTTCACCTCATTTTTCTCTTCTTCCACGTCCAATCCTCTAAAATTCTCTCTTTTCTCCTTCTTAAATTCTTCTTCATCTGCATAACTTTTCTTTTTTGTGCTTCATTTCCTAGTCTTACCCAGACCAATTCCCTCTCCTTGTCCTTGTTCCCTCCCAATCTTTTCACTTCCTCTATCTCCGCTCTCACTTCTATCCTCTCAAATATTTCTTCCACCGCCTCCCTTCTTCTTCCTCCCTTCACCTCTAACCCTCTTATTATTATGTTCCTTTTCCTATCCGCTCTCTCCTTTAATTCCATCTTCCTCTCTATGTCCTTTACCCTTTCATTAATTTTTTTCTCTTCCCTTATCCTCCCTTGTCCCCTCTTCACCCCCTTCCCCCCTTTTTCCTCCGTCTCCAACTCTTTGACCTTCTTCTCCAACCTTTTAATGATTTTCATTATCTCCATCCTCTCCTCCTTCCATCTCATAACCTGCTCCTTCATATCTCTTCTCATCCCCTCCATCTCCTCCCTCAGCCCTCTACCCTGTTCTTTAATCACCTCCATCACTCCCTCCATAGTTTTTTTGACCTCATCTCTCCATCCATTCATTATCTCTTCCATCTCTCCTCTCTATCATTTTAACTCCTCCTCCCTTTCCTCCTTTCTTTCTGCCTCTCGCGATCTCGCTGTCTTCCTACACTTCCTAAAAATATCATCCTCTTCTCTTTCCCTACTCATTCATCCCTCCCTTTTCTTTTCACCAAATCCTCCAAATTCCCTGCACTAGCACATCTATCTCTTCCCCCCCCCCACTTTTCCCTATCTCTGTTGCCTTTCTCCCATCCATCCTGTTCTCTATGCTTATCTTCCTTACTACCGACTTAGATTTTAGATTTTAACCGAGTTATCTATATTCTATATCCTCGTCCGCCTATCCCGCTATACCGCTGCCTATCTACCTACTTCGTAATCCGTGCCTGTCACAGTTCACACTCTCTTCTCGCCTCTTTATCTATTTCCTTCCTCTTTTCCCTTTATCCTTTCGTTAACCTTTTGCCTTCACTCCCTTCACACACTCCACTCTTACTCTCTCACATTCTCCCACCTTCTCCACCTCTCAAAATACCACCAGAAACTGCCTTTATCTCACCACAAAAGCTACGTGTACTCTCTATAGCACCGGAAGCGGAAGTCCACTATATAAACTAAAATAAAAAAATATTAAATAATTATTGATAAGTTCTGTTAGTAAATTCTAAGGTTTATCACACGACGAATTTCTCAGGTACGTTGCTGCTGACAATAAGTTTCAAAATTCAATTGATTTTTAAGATCTGCCAAATCTTCATACAGTTTCTGCACCGTTTCTCTCACAGTAACTTCTCGTGTGTATAATTAAGCAGTATCAACATTATTCTCTCCATGTTTTTTATTATCGGTTCTTTGACTCTTCTAAGCCATTTTTGGATTGCTTCTTCGCACTCTTTGTTACTAGAGTTCGGAATACTTTTTTTGACAGAACCTGTAATAAATATAAACGAGATAAAAAGTATTTAGAAAATTGTAAATAGATTTTATATTTATTTCAAATAATGTACACATTGTTAAAAACATTCTTTAATTTATTTTTTATATTTATAATATTATTTGTTAATATATTAATATGTTATTTATTTTATATTTATATTTTATAGTTATTTATTTTACATTCATATCCTTTGTTATGTTTTATATTATTTCATATTTTATATTTATTTCTCGATTCTGTGTTTTATATATACCTATGTTTTGATCATTCCTTAGTATAATTTTTATTTTTTTGATAATTATAATTAATTTAAACTTAATTATTAAATAAGTTAAATAAAAATTATTAAATAAATTATATAAGAATAAAGAGCCTAATATTTTTAAGAATATAATTAAAAAAAAGTTATTTAAAAAAAATTTTTTTTAAATATAATTAAATATATATATATATATATATATATATATATATATGATATATGATATATATATATATGTATATAAAGTATATATAGTAATAATGTATAGTAGTAATGTATATGAAGTATATAGTAATTATACTTTATATATATATATATATATCCCAGTAAGCAAAAAATTATTACCACAACGTTATTATAATGATATTCACTAACATAGTAATGTTGTCAAGTATGTAGTTTTTAACATTGTATGCAACATCATTATGAACAAACTTTGACACCAATTTAGAGGTTTAGGTAATGTTGAAATAACATTTTCTATGACGTTACAAGTAATATTGCATTAATGTTGTTTTAACATTCTGATAATATTTTTCATAAAATTAAATCAATAATAAAATAACATTATTATCAACATCTACATAACTTAATATTAATATCACAGTAATATTAATTCTAATATTAATTTAATTGATTTTTATTATTTTATAAATATTATATATAACATGTTTTCAATAATTTTTCAATATTAATAGAATGTCTAAATATATATTGTATTTTTGTATTTCTAAATATTATTTTTATCGTTTAATAAGGAATAATAATACAAATATATATACATATAAAGTACAAAAAAATATTTTTTTATTTCTATGTAATTAAATACAAAATTATTAATTAAATACAAAAAATGTATTATAAAATTAGGTACTTTTTCGATACCTCAAAATACAAAAAAAATACTGAGAAACAAAAAAAAATAAAAAATATATTAAACTAAAAAAAATATTCAAAAACATAAGAAAATATTAACAAAATATATAAAATGTAATAAAATATTATAAATCTAATAAATATATCTAATAAATATTATAAACTTATATTTGCTTCATTGCAGTGAAATCAAATTATTAATTATATTTATCTCATTGCACTTCTTTGAAGGCTACTTTAAATATAATAATATAAAATATAATTTAAATTAAATATTTTAATTCTATATTTATATCTTATAATTATAAGATTTCTTCTCACTTTTCTTTTCCTGGAAAATAAAATTCAATTAGTGAAAAACTTATAATAATCCAATTTTAGTTTATGTAATATATGTAATGTATTTGTAAGAATATTTGAAGTAATTAATTAACACTCTGTGTTAATTAATTACTTCAAATATTTTATTAACACAACTATTAACATAACTATTTTTTTATTAACACAATTGTTAAGAAAAATGATAATGTCTGGATTCAACATACTTTCTTTCTTTTGCTTACGGACGTTTGCAAAACGAAACCACTCCATCACCAATTATTCGAAATCTTTTTCCGTACTTCGGGGAAATGTTGCCTTAAACGCTTCTGGAATAAGAAAAACTTTTATGTTATATATGTAGCATAAAATTCTATAGGCTTTTCTCAATATATCCCATCCGTTAATTGTAAAAAAATTAGAAATATAAAAAACAATTACAGATTCTGATACCACAACCAATATGTAATATAAATTTATTTACTTTTTATACTTAGCATAATATGAGTATCTCCTATCTTGAAATTATTTTTCTGTCCCGTCCACGAACACATACAGGCCAAATTATCATTAAATGTAGCTAAAGCTCTTCTAACAAAGTCTTTTTCATTTTTCCCACCAATTTGTAATATTTTATTCACCTAAAAAATGTTTAAAATTAAAACTATGTTTATATAAAATTTTTTGATAAACGAATTTACTTACTACTTGCATAAAAGCTTCTTGATCATCTTTTAATATATCATCAAAATCAAGAAGATTCTGAATAGAAGTTAAGGGAAATTTTTGTTTTATTTTATCATCCTTTAGCATATAATATTCTTTGCCATATTGTTCACTATTTATTTTAGCTAAAATCAATTTTGTGGTTTCTTTAATTTCTGAAAGTGATTGCTCTTGTAATGATTGCGTTTCCCTTATATTTGTTATTTCAGTTTCAATATTGTTCAGTATCGTTTTCAAGTCTTGTGTAAAATCTAAGTCTGTATTAGTATTTTCATTGTAGATTGTAATTGGTATATTATCAATGTTATATTCTGTTAAGATATTATCTGAAAAATATAGATATTTTTAGAGAGATAAACATTATTTAAAAAATTAAATATATAAATGTTTCTATTAAAGATGTTTTTTTACATAAGTCGCTATTTTTATTACCATTAATATCTTGTGAATTATTTAATTTAGAATTTTCATTGTCCTTATTCGTGTGTGTTGAAACTAAAAATAAAAAATATTTATTTTAAACAGGTAAATTTTTTTTAGTATATTCAACTGTGAAAGATAACATTTTAAGTGCAATAGTTAAATTCATGGGACAATAATATAATAGTATGGCGGCCAATTCGGCCAATATGAAAAGCCTTAAATTCAACTCTTATCTGAAATAAAACATTTTCTGCAATACATATATATAATTTACGCTAATTATAATAATAGAAAAAATTTTGACCGTATATCGCTTAAATGTGAAAAACTAAATTATTATTTTATGTAGATTTAATTATTTCCACGTAAAAATATAGCAGCAATTTTTATTAATTTTACAAATTTTGTTGTTTTTAATTTTGTTTTATATCCTATTTTATTTTATTTCTAATTATAAATTTTCACTTATGAAATTTTTTTAGAAAATAAATCTAGATTAATATTACTAAACACATTTACATTTATTATTAATAAATTATTGTATATAATAAATATTTTAAAAATTTCTATATATTGTCTTTTTTCAAATAAAGTAAAATTCAACAGAAGTTTTTTTTAGAAGACAAAACTTAATTCAAGATTTAATTTAATTTAAAATATATACACAATTAAGGGTTGTAAACTCTCTTGAAAAAAATAATCTATTTATCAACATAATTTCGATCAAAAAATATAGAATAATCATATAATTTTAAAATTCGTGAAACGTTAAGATTAAATTTGTACAAGCAGTAAAACAAGTAATTCATATTTCTGAAAATGGAAATATGTTTGTACAAAAAAGACTTAAAAATTAACCTGCAATACCTGATTTATGTGATTCCTTGGATGATAACAATCTCGGAGGATTAGGAAAACTGACATAGTCGTCATATTTATTATTTTTTATTTTTCTTTTCCCCATTCTTGATTCAGCCTCCTCAGATTCCGATGTAGCTACAATCTGTTTCTCTGCCTCTAAGGCTGATTCATAAGTATCTAATAATAAAAAAGAATTATAAATTACAAAATTCATAAAATAATGTGCATATTTGGTATTAAATAATGATGCTATATACATATAAATAATTTCCATTATATACATATAGAGGTAAATATAAATTCATATGAATGCTATATGAAGTGTCATAAAAGTCAGAAACAGATTTTTGATAAGACAACTGGCAATTTTTATTAAAAAGAAAAAACTATATGTTTCGACCAATAATCGTGGTCCTCCTCAGGAATACATTAATTATATAAACAGTTATGTATAAATTGTCAAAGCTCATTTAAAAATATATGCGCTGGAATAGACGCGTCTAAATCACAGGCTAGTTAATAATAAAAAATTTTATTAACTGGCTTATGATTTAGACGTGCTTTCTAACATATCTTTTTAGCACATATATTTTTAAATGAGCTTCGACAATTTATACATAACTGTTTATATAATAATTAATGTATTCCTGAGGAGGACCATGATTGTTGGTCGAAATGTGTAGTTTTTTCTTTTTAATAAAAATTGCCAGTTATGTCGTCTTATAAAAAATTTGTTTTGTTTTGTTATTTACTGGCGACATATAATATTTTAATTTTTTATATATATCTTAAATTATAAATTATAAAATCTATTATAATACAAGTATATAAACATTTCTTTTCATTAGCATGACAATTAATAAAATAATATTAGTGTCATAAACATGTACATACAATACTTTCCTGACTTTGTCAAGCATAATAATTTAATTTTACTTACCATGTTTACTAAAGATCTGACATTTATATTTCATAAAATTGTCTTTAACGGACATTTCTTTCACAATTGCGGTTCTAATGTTTTTCATTCCTGTAGGCCAATAACAATGATGTGGTTCATCCAACCAAATTACGGGAACCACCGAAAAGTCTAAATCGTCAAATTGTACAACTGCATACTAAAAAAAAAAAGATAACATTAGATTACCGAAATATATATTTGTTTTTTACTTATTTAATATGTATAATTATTTTTTAATAAAAGAAAGTTTGTTGCATATTTTGCGTAAATCTCTCTCTTAGGCAGTTTCACAAACACAGTTGCACCAGACCTACTCTGATTTCTTATATTGTGCGGTGAATTCTTCAGAGACACAGAGTTCATCGCGTGTACTTCTTAGATTATCAATAGCAGCATTTTATATTACAAATAATCGAATTTTCACGGTAATAATCCAAAGATTAAATTCATCATCTTAACTACTGAGTAATGTGATATATAAATCATAGTCAATTAAAAAAAAGAATAAGAACAATCAACAAATACTAAATTTATATTAAATAATAGTTGTATTATATTGTAACAAGTAATTAATTTCAATTTACAAATCAGTCTGTGTGTAATATCGACACGAAACAATCATTTATTTTGAAAGCTTTCCTTAATATATCGTCAGCAGATGTGATATGTTCTTCATCAGTCATTTCAACAGAACCACACCAAAATATAGTACTTTCCATCGGATTATCAAAATAGGGTGTTATTTTATAATTTTTATATTTAATATAAAATATATTATCAATCCGTAAAATATCAATTATTTTTATAGGTTGATTATTTTGTAAAATAAAATTACAGTTGGGTTCTTTAACTTCCACTCTAAAATTTTTATAATATATAGCTGAAAAACCTTCTGCTGATTTATTGTTTATTAAACGAAGACCATCTTCTTTAATAAAATTTTTTTTTTCTTTATTAAAGGAAAAATATTTATCATATTCGTTTACTCTTTTTATAAATTGCGATTGGTTTATTTGACGTTTTAATCATCATTTTAATTGTATGCATATAATTTTCGAATGGAAAGCAACTGAATTTATCTAATGAGCCAAATGTCTTCACGTCTAATGTTAAATGAATGAGATTGTGAACGTTGTGATTAACAAATTCGTTGCCATATAAATTACCAAATTCGTTTACAAAATACATTAATAATTCGTTAGCATAATCAATATATTTTTCTAATAAGTCTTGACAAACCAAAATTCTAATTGCACAATGTAGAGAAAGAAAATGAAGAAAGTATTGGTTTCTTAAAAATGGTTTCATTAGCCATGGACCATAATATAATAAAAACGTTCTCAATTCAACAGCTTTCCATTTATCATATTCCGTTATTAATCTAGGCTTTCTGGAAAATTCACGGGGAGTTGATTTATATATTAATTTTATTCTTTTATTTATAGCATCAATATCTTCTTTGAACAGACGGACTTCTTTATTTCCTTTCAGCCAAAATCCCAATAAACGTTTCATTATGCCTAATAATACCAGATGCATATAATCCAATGGAACACTTGTAATAAAATCAATTTCTAAATCACATAAAATAGATGTGTCTTTGTGAAAATCTTCATCACTTTGAGAATAGAATTCTTCATTAGTTCTTAATTTTGAATTCAATTCAGGAAAAGTCATTCTATTCTTTTGAAATGATCCTTCAGCGTAACATTTAGGGCAACTTGCATAAGAATTAAAATTTTTTACATAATACGAATGATTTTGCAGGAGCATCACAGAGAATTTTACTAATTCTTATTTTCACTATTTTATCATATAAACATAAACCTTCGTTTTGCAAAATCTTCATTTCTTCAACAAATCTTAATAGAAAGATGTTAGAGTTGTTTGGTTTAGTTTCTCCGTGATAAACACCTATTGGAAATGGTTTAAGTTTCTCCAATTCATCGATTTTTATCAAAATAGGCCAAAATTGGCTACCACTACTTTTCGTGAGAGGAAGTCCATCAATATTTACTGATATATTAACTTCATTACCTTTAAAATCGTTCTGAATTAATTTTAATAGCAATTTTGATTTTAATCCAAAGTGATAATACTTTCCAGGAGATAAATTTACTATTTTATTGTTTATATTTTTTGTTTTAAAAAGAGTCCGTGCATCTGAAGGTAATAAATTTAATTTTAAGTCTGATTTTATTATTTTTAATAAATCGCTAATAGCTGTTTGTGCGATATGATGTCTAATTGCCCAACATCTGAGATGATCTTTAAAGATCTCAAGTGATGATTTGGAATCACAAGATGCAAATAATGCATCAGATAAATTACTTGAAATTTGACTAATTTCTAATAAATTTTGAGATAAACTATTATATGTTGGTTGTTCTACTGAACATAAGGATGCTGATGAAACTTCTTGTATTTCTTTTCTTTGAGTGTAATTTTTACTTGGACGATTTTCTTTTGATATATCTTTAGCATTTACTTTAATATTTTGTTTTATAACTCTCTTTAAATAGTTTTCGGTATGACATCTTTTATAGAACTAAAAATAAATATTTAAATTTATAAAATTTTATTTTAGCTTTTATCTGTTAATTTATAACGTAATTATTAAAATAACGTAATTGTTATAACGTAATTATTAAAAAGTTTGGACTCAGTTTGTGAAAACATTTTAATGTAGAAGTTTTTTATAAATTATATTTACCTTATGTGATGAACAACTTGGTTTATCCATTTTCGATTGACCTCTATAATCAATAAAAGACAAGTACAAATTAATAGAAAAAATCACAGACAATCATATATAATTAATATAATTAATATAATTATTAATATAATTAATATAATTATTAATATAATTAATATAATTATTTCGTTTTGTAAAATTAAATTTTATGACATTGTTTAGAAAAAAATGTGTAAATGTTATAGAAATCAGTATGTATATGAATATTAATGTGAGTATTGCTTTTATTATAATCTCTATCTGCTCTCATCTCTCTCTCTCTTTCTCTCTCTCTCTCTCTCCCTCTCTCTCTCTCTCTCTCTCTCCCTCTCTCTCTCTCTTTCAAACACATACACACTAACAAATTTTGAATTTATAATCATACGTGCACATGTATCCAATTTCCTTAACATTCTATAAGTCTATAAGTCTTATACGCAGTTTCAAAGGCAAACAGAAAAACATTCTACAACACAGAATGTTTTCTCTGTTTGCCTTTGAAATAACTGATAACGTAGAAATGTTTTATGATTGACTAGGACAATTCTACAATAGAACTTAACGCGAAACTTAACACGAATAAGCTGATTTTATAGAACTTTCACTGAAAAATTCGAGAACGAATATTTAGACATATTTAATTTTTAGCCATAAAAATAACTTACAAGATATTATAACACACTTTCCTCTTCTTTCGATATTATAACACACTTTCCTCTTCTTTCGCAGCAATAACTTGCAAAAACACTGTATAATTTACTTATTGCGAAATCGATTATAAGAGCACGTGGCACGATGGCAGACGACACAAGTGTTCCGAAGAACAAAAGAATAAATCACGCATACGCAATAGAGCGTATACGCATATCCCACCGAATGTTCCTTCTCAGTAACGTATTAGGTGTCGTCAGGCCCGTTACGAAAAAGAAATTAATATATATTATGAAAAAAATAGTCTAAAGATATGTATGAAATAAATAATACGACGTTTAATAACAATGCGAACGAACTTGTAACTAAATGTTATATTTTTATTTATAATAAACATATTAATAACATATAAAAAACATTTTGACTAATGTTTCTAAAATATTTTATTAATATTTTAAGAGAGATGTTATTAAATAACATTTTTAAAATATTTATAAAACATAAATTAAAATACTTTGTAAATGTTATTAATATGTTTATTAGAATATTTTAAAAATATTTATAAAACATTATATCATAATGTTTAGAAAATTTATATAAAATCAACATTTTAGAATGTTGATCAAATGTTTCTTGCTTACTGGGATATATATATATATATATATATATATATATATATATAAAGTATAATTACTATATATATATATATATATATATATATATATATAGTATATTTAATTTAAAATATATACTGTATTAACTCTAGCAAAAAAGCATTTATTATATTAGAAACCAAAGATTTATTAAAAGAAATCAATTACAAGTAATTTGATAATCTACGAAGGGAGAATAATTTTAATAAAAGCGTTCAGTAAAAGATAATCTAAAAAACTATTTACCAATTATCAAATCTGCTAATTTTAATTTGTTGAATGCTTTTTTGAACTGCCTCCCTAATCAGCTGTAGGTTGTTGCAAGATCATTTGTGATTAACATCTTCAAAGCCCGTTGTATATAACTATACCGAACATCCACCAATTTTTGAAAGCCTATTCATCTATAAAATTCAAAACAAAAATAATACATTGACTGAAATTTCATTAATTAATAAAGTACATATAGTAACACTGCAATGTAAAAATATAACATATATTTGAGAATAACAAACATTTATAAAAAATTACCGCAACGTTAAAATTTTTGTCATCATTTAAATATTCATCGACGCGGATAACTTCTTCTTTGTTTTGTATTGGAAATGAAAAAAATTTTGAAAAATAAAGATGCTTCTTGCTCCCGATGAGTCACTTTTCCATCGTTTGTAAGCAAACGATTAATAGACGTAGTTAACTCGTAAAGAGTATCTGTACTGTGTACCACATGCTTGCTTTCAGCATGTTTTGTTGACGAATGATTTCTTTAAAATAACTTTCTCTGAAAAAAGAATTTCATACAAATTTATTAATAAATTGTCGAACATGTAATTACAATAATAAATTCATTATTTTATAATAAGATTAATAAATTTACCGAAAATAATTGTAATTTATTTTATTTTAAATATATGTTACTGGCAATCACCGAATTTACCCATTGTCTTAATTTTTTAACCAATACGATGCGAGATAAGCTTAAATGTCTACAACATATTCTGGGTATTTATTTCGGCTACTGAGCGTTGAAAAACACAACGTGTTGTGACCAAAATAAATATCCGCGTTGCACAGCAACGCTATTTAAGCTATTTATATCACGTCGTAGTTAAAAAATTCAGGCAATGGGCAAATTCGGAGTGGATATAATTTGACCACGTTCGAAACGGCCACGTTCGGAACGGCCACGTTCGGAACGGCCACGTTCGGAACGGCCACGTTCGGAACGGCCACGTTCGAAACGGCCACATTCGTAATGGCCACTCGTTCATAATGGCCACGTTCGGAACGGCCACGTTCGGATTTCGAACGTGATCAAATTTATCCGTGGCCATTTCGAACGTGGCCATTTCGGACGCTCGCGCAAATTCGGCAATTGTAAGTAACATATACATACGACACTTGTGTTTTAAATGTACTGGACAACATTTACATTCTGTCATAAATGTTTCCAGTTGGTTATTGTCAGTCAGAGATTCATTATCTATAAAATATGTAAAAAATACGTTATAAGCTTTTATATTTTATAAAAAGTTGAATAATAATTCTATATTATGAAAAACAATTTACCATTAGATTGTAATAAATTTGTTTTTCATTTCGTAAATTAAAGTCAATAGCTTCATCATTCTTTTTTTTTTGTAATTGTTTTTGTAAAAATACTGGTATCTGGAAGAAAAGACGATTAAGGACCAAATAGTTAAATGTGTTTTTTGAAGTATAAATTATTTACTACTATTCTATTTTATCCCTAAAAACTTTTTTTAAAAAGGTAAATTTTTAGGACTTGTCACACTTTTTTATACTATTTTATTATTTAAACTTGAAATAAATATAGTTTTTATTTCTCAGGAATTTTATACTTTTTCTTATGATAGAGAGAATTATATTTTTTTAACATAATTGTTCAACAAACCAAGTTATAGATAAATGCATGTATTATTGTATTATGTGAGTTTTTTGCATACTCAATAATGATTTAAATACGTATGTACTAATAATTTATTAAATGTACTAATAATTTATTAGATTGTTAATTTTGAACCCTATCTGTCTTAGTATATATACTCTTAAATCATTGGTATGTATGCAAGATAATTCGCATAATATAATAATACAAGCATTTATCTATAACTTGCTTTTTTAAAAAATGTAATAAAAATATTAAATAATTATCTGAGCTTAAAAAATACTTAAAAAGTAGACTTAATTTTTAAAAACCAGTTAGTAATATAATATAGAATGTAGATTCTTTTTACAAACACGAAATATAAATATGTTATTAAATATAAAAAAATGCATACAAACCATTTGTTAAACGTGGAGGAGTCGGCAATTTATTCAGCACATTATTATTATCGTCTGATGACGATAGATTGTTCTCTTCAAATGAAGAGCCATATGTTTTTTTCGCTCACATTTATACTCGCAGCAAGATACACACAACTTGTATACACGCATTCTATCTGAATAAATCAGTTCTTTTTTTTACTCACAATTCGCTCACCATTTATTACCCAGAATCCGATGAGTTTATCCGCGATCTAATCTCCGGAAAATCGGAACGTTACAAATATAATGAAATAATGGAATGTGGTATAATAGAGCTCCAGGTCCACATAAAAAACCTAACGCACCATTGGTGATACCTCATGGGTGATGTGGAAAATCGCACTATTTTTCTTAATTTCATATTTTAAATATATAAAAAAATTAATTATATTTAATATATTATAAAACGTGTGTGTATATATATGTAACATATATATATATATATATATATATATATATATATATATATATATACAGGGTGTCCCTGAGCATGTGCTCACTCATTTGAAAAAAAGTAGAGCGCAGTAAATTAAATAAAGAAATCCTATTATATGTAACGATTTTTGTAATAACAATCGAAATATTAATTATTGAAATCGGACGAATGAGAGAAGCGCTCGAGCGCTCGAGCTATAGCACGGCCCACCGTGTCAGACATTGCCTGCCGGCACGCGGCGGGAGGAGGGACAGCGCGCCAAACAATGCCAGAAATGAGACGCGAGATGCGAGTCTTGACGCGATGCAATGAAACGTGAGAATGGCGATAGCGGTAACCACGGGTAGCGGCGCGCTGTCCCTCCTCCCGCTGCGTGCCGGCAGGCAATGTCTGACACGGTGGGCCGTGCTATAGCTCGAGCGCTCGAGCGCTTCTCTCATTCGTCCGATTTCAATAATTAATATTTCGATTGTTATTACAAAAATCGTTACATATAACAGGATTTCTTTATTTAATTTACTGCGCTCTACCTTTTTACAAATGAGTGAGCACATGCTCAGGGACACCCTGTATATTATAAATATATTATACGTTTATGCATATACATATTTATATATATTTGTAACAAAAATATAAAACATAAAGAAAAGCTGTGAAAGAGAAACATTGAAAGCGATATCGAAGAGCGAGGCTCGCTCAGCAGCGTTCCGCGTCGCGCGTCGCCCGTCGTTTTCGTTGCTTGTTTAGTAAAAAGGAGACAGAAAACTGTATTCTGTCCTTTTCTTTTAGCCGAAGTTCGCCGAAGCGCCGAGCTCACACGTACGCTTACGCACACATCTCCGTTACCCTCTCCACTACGCGTGGCATGTTGCTTGCGGAGATAATCTTGAATCCCTGATCTGATGGCCCCCTTCAAGCCATACAACTTTGGAAACATTTTCCTCAAAAACGTTTCGTTTTCGAGATATTTGATCGTTTCCAGACTTTTCTAATACCCTGTATATACAGGGTGTTTCAGACTACCCGTACCACCCATTTAAAAACTAGAGAAGTAGTTATTTCAAAAAGGTAAAAACATTTTCTCTAAATCGGGTGCGCTCTATCGAATAGTGATATTTTCAACATCTGGTTCCGGTGGGAAATAGGCGATTTTGATCGGAAGTGCATTTTTTTAATGGAACCCCCTATTTTTCATTACATATTCTTACAGCTTACCTCGAGAGCTTTCGAAAACATTATAATAAATTATTTTTCCAAGAAGTCCTTTTCGAATTATAAGACTTGAAATCATTTCTTAATTTTATATAAACCATAAAATATCTTGTAAAATATTCATTTTTCGATTATCTTACTTTAATACTGTTATGTACAAAATAATGAGAGGAATCAATTGGTGTAAGAAAAACATACAGTTGTTTTTAAGAAAAAATAAATGGAATTTAATTTTTCCATTAATTCTATAAAATTATCATTTTTACCAGCACTTGAAGTATTTTGTGTAATCTTATTGAAAAACTCTTTCCATTTTTCTATAGTTAAGACAAGATCTGATAACTGTATTTAATCAAAATCATATTGAATAAGCTTATATCCATTTGGATGTTTGAAAAGTGGCCATTCCTCAAATACATTATTTAATTTTTTATCAATGATTTCATTAATATTGCATATCGATATTCAAATGTTTTAGACCATTTTTCTAAAACAATCTCCCAAGGTGTTTGGTTAATTTTTAATCATGCCAAGCTTTTTTTAACATCTTCATTGGAAACTGAAGACATGATAATTACAGATTT